AGGTAGCAGTGCACTGACCATGGGGGAACAACAGGACACAAAAGCTTGGCCTCCAAGTGCAAAGAACCCCTGTGTGTTTATAGCAAATCCAGGCACCAACTTGGTGTTTGTGAGGGATTTTGGTTTGTGCTAGCATAAGTGCCGCAATACTGAGATTGTCAAGGTCTTCGATCCTTGATGTGTTCAGAACTGCAACTTGAACCCTAAAATACTGCTCACACTATGCCAAGGCCTTGTTTAGCTTATGACAACCACCTACCTCAATTAAAAAGAGCAATTTGCTACGCATTATTCTTAAAGTCACCAAGCTTCAGAAGAACAGCCCTGCAAACACTGGCTAGCATCCAAAAGCACTCCATTATAAACAATCTTACTCTAGTACGCAGCTACACTAATGCATATACATGAACTTCATAACTTAAATCCACATTACGTAGCTTCCATCCCACCAAGTCAGAGTTAACAGTTATTTCAGATCCCCATGCAATATATAAACACTGTACCTCTATATTTTACCTTCATTAACAGAAATCTGACCATCCAGTTTCATTTCAAGAACTCAAATTCATAACACAGCAAAATTCACTTATTTTTTAATAATCCAACTCAGTTTTCCACTCTTGATCTGGTGTTCATCATAAAGGGCCTTAGAAGATCACAAGTATTAAACTGCATTCGATAGCAATGGCACATGTAATCCAATAATCCTGTCTCAAACAATAGCCAAGAACAAGCATTCCTATTTTCAACTTCTTTATGCTTTAACCAGCCTCCCAAAAGTCACTTTATATGGCTTATGGCTTAATTTTAGTTTAAAAAACATTCCTTTCTGTGGTTTTCATTTGTTCTTCGGTTTAAAACCCCAACAAATTACTAAGTGTATTGCACATGGCAGAAGCTTCCTTACCCTGGCTTTATTTTCACACTAAGCAGTTTATCATCTATAGCAATGTTATGACCTCATCTCTGCCTCAGTTTCCCTAACACACAACAATTGCTTAGGCGATCACACAGTAATTGCTGTGTTGGCAGAACCAGTAATCACCCTTCTAACAAGTAAAGCATTTCATTGTTTCACACCATTGATTTCTCCTCTAAAGTAATTAAGAGCATGAAAGACAGGAATGAGCCTCATTAGCTCCCACAAGCACAGGCATCCTCCAGCTCTTCCATGAGCCTATCCAAGGAGCAGGCACAGACATTAAAGCAGCAGCAGGGTGTTAGCTGCAGAGGTTGCATTCCCTGCTCTGCAAGCTTGTGATCTCTGATAACTCATGTGCAGCACCAAGCACAAGCACTACTTTGCACTAAACTCATTAGATAACATCCCAACAAAAATCCCATGTTCCAGCCTGTACAAACCAGACAGATAGAGAGAACTGCCATGCAAGAGCTACCCAGAGCCATCACCTCCAGCTTCTCTCTTTCCCTTAAAGCCCACTGACAGTCTTTCAGACTAAAGCAAGCCTTTTGCTGGATCTCCCTTATCTTATTGTACAGCAATTTGTTGAAACATTCATAGGATCACTATGCATTTCATTTACCCTTAAGGCCAACCCCTCTGCTTATTAAATTAGGAAGATGAATGAGGGATTTGCTCTCTTGCTAGCAGCCCAGGGGATTCATTAGTCAAGTAAATGATTGCACTTGCCTCAAGTTATGCTACTGCAATGTTTGTAATGTGTCTTCTGATCTCAGCTCCCCATGCACTTTTTGGAAACAAGGCTTGCTTTCATACAGGTCACATTTAATTCCAGTCATTTGACTTCAGTAAATGGAAATAAAGGCCTCAAATGCACCATCCTTTGCTCAGCCCTCCAAGCATTTCACAGAACAAACACAAGGGGAAAACCAGGAGCTACATGTAAGTTAACAGTATTCATCCCATTTATGTCTGTATCAAGCCCAGTTACCATGTTAGCACTGACAAAGTGCTAATCTGGGTACACAGTAACACACAGCAGTAACACAACTGCACTGGGCAGAAGGGAACACTTCATCCATCCCACCAAGTTAGACCATTATTAAAGCATGGAGGTAATTTAAAGTTCCCTTTTGCCTTCCACAAAGGGCACTGGCTCTAACTGCATCCAGAGGACATCAGCATTTATGAGACAGGATTAGGAAAGCAGAAAGGAAACAGCACTTCAGGAAAAGGATAAAACTCACATCACAGTTAAGCAGCTCTGGTGGGAAGGAAGTTGAACACAAATGAAGTCCAGGGAATATTGTCCAGTTTTGCAGGACTGTTCCATGGAAATCAGAATCTGGACGAACACACCCCACCAGCACAGTTGGGTGAGCACTTCAGCAGCACAAGAAGCATCATATTGTTACAAGAAGATAAGCAAATGGAAGATTGCACATCTTGAACTCACTTACAGGTTGCATTGGCTTGTATGTGGGCTATTGGAAAGGCAGTCTGTCACCTTCAACACTACGTAAGTGGTACAGCAAAAGGCACAGCTTCCGGGTAAAGCACCTGCAATGAAACATATTCCATTTTTTAGGCATGAGAACAGCAAGAACCGTGGTAGTTGTCACCCAGTACAACCCCTAGGGGTGACTGCACTCTGCTACAGAGCTACACAAGTAGACTGAAAACATCAGGAAAACTACCCGGTTCTTGAAAGCTTCCCAGCAAATCTGTAACCAACTTTGGAGCTGCTCTTCCCAGCACTGCACCTCAGTGAAGCAACGCAGCAGGCAAACACTCAGAAAGGCTCACTGCACTGAAACGCATCACACCTGCAGTGGGAAAGGGATGCCTTCTGCAGCCTGGCAAAGGAGAAGAGGGTGTACACGGCACAGCAGAGGTACAAAGGAGCATGCGAAAATAGACGGACTCTTAACAGCAACAGCAGTGAACAGGGAATTAAGATGTCTGTGCTAACATAACTGTCCTCTTCTCCTTGTCATCGCCCATGAATCAAGTGCTTATTTACCTCCCAGCTTCACCACAACTTTCTCCCCCGACCTTCATCAGGTTATTTCTATCGTATCTATAAATAGCATAACATGGCAATCCTGCTGCATCTGCAGGGTGAAGGTTTTAACCAGAGTCGATTTCACGCTGTGAACACACCCAAGGTTCACACAACACAAAGCAGATATTGAGCTACGTTTGCTAAAGCAGTATCAGGACACAGATCACAGCGAGAGGCCACTCCAGGGAAGGACAGGAGGTGAAACTGCTAAGTTTCACATATACAAGCTCCCCCATTCACTAAGCAGCATTACTGGGACAAAGAATAACCTTGCACTAGTTCGGTTTACAGCAGACTTCAGCATGACCATAGACAGCTACAAAACTGCTTTTCTTTTTACCACTGTGCTTCAAAAGAAGCCACCAAGCCTGTGCCCTATTGCTCGTGCTCACATTAACTGCTAGGAGCTCCAGCAACCCTGCAGAGAAAGGGCTCAGAGTGCTAAAGAGGCTGATCTGCACAACAAAGACAAAGGCCGGACTCACCGAGCATGGGGAGGGTTGCGATGTGATGTCCCTCGTCCTGAACACGTGGCTGTTAGCTACACTGTCACAAAGAACTCTGCCCTCCAATCTACTGCCCATTCTACCTGGGGCTGTTGATAGCATCTAGAAGTCTAATTCTGAACACAGCAAAAGCTGCTGCACACCGGGGGAGCCGCAGCTCTGCACGGACCCCCGGACGCCGCAGGCAGATTCGACGCTCCCACGCACGTTGGACGCTGTGCGAGGCACCGCAGGCTCCAGCAGCCCCACGGGTACGAGCACACCGGAGCACGTGCTCTCAGCACCGGGCTACGGGCAGGTTTGCAGCCCTTAGTGCAGGGATTACTGGAGCGCTTCAGTCTCCCCCTGCACTTAACGCAGCTCCCAAAGCGAGTGTTTAACAGCACCAGCACCCCCGGACAAAGGCTCCGGCGGCTGCCCCAGGTCTCAGCCATGAAGGTGCAGGATCCCAGAGCCTGGGGCGCTCGGCTCCGCTCCCAGCTCCAGCCCTCCCAGCCGCGTTTTTCCCGCCTCACCCTCCGCTTTTCCTGTTCTAAGGACACAACCATAAGGAGCTGCCGCCATCTAGTGGGGCCCAAACCCCGCATTACCTCGGCTGGGTTCCTCCGCAGCTCCCGCAGCCACCCCTGGATGCCCTTCCATGACAACATGCGGCTGCTTCCCTCCAACCTCCTGTGGGAGCTCCATCCTTTCCCCACGGGAACACCAGGCAGAAGCAGGGGCTCTCATCTCATGACCCTTCGACCCCTCAGCCAGGAGGAGCACTGCCCCCACGACCGCCCTTAAATCCCAACGGGAACAGTGCAGTGCGCACGCCTGCCCATTAAACACTCATGGGACACACCTGGGCTGGCCTCGCATTGCCCGCGGCCGGGGTGGAGTTAATTGCGGGCTCACCAGAGGATGCTTTCGGTGTGCACTGATTGCGGCTCTTCCACCCCCTTCCCCGGCCACGGCAGCGGAGTGCGGGCTGTAGCATCCCTGGTGCTCTGAGAGCCCTGGAGCCGGGGAGGTGAAGGGTTAGTGTGGCCTGGGACGAGCTGTGATGGTAAAAGTAAGAAGAGAACAGAGAAGCCATTTTCTGCAAGGGCTAAGGAGGGGTGGTGGGCTTTCCTCATTCCTGATTCTGTGTTCCCACGTTGAGAAGAAAGAGCAAGAGGAAAAGCTCTATCTTAGCTAAATGCCATGGGAGGCAGTTGTACTGCTTCTAAAATGCACGACAATACAAAATGATTGAGTCTTGTCTTTGGTACCCCACAAGAACCCTAAACTCCAGGGTGGTACTGGGCACACCAGCATAGATGGTTCTCCTGGGTAAAGGGAGAGGCAAAAAGTAAAAGAAGGAACTAGGTCTGTATGTGGAAATGTAAAAGAAAGGCAGGTGCTGTGGCTAAGATGAATGCAGTTAAAGAGTTTGAAGCCACCTGCATGTACCCAGATGGTGCTGGGAAAGGCAAAGACAAATGGGTAAGAATTATGACAGCCAAAGTATGCTGCTTCTGCCACAAAAGCACTTGTGTGTTATTTCAGACAACAGCCTCTGCAGTTTTTACATCTGCAAGGGCTCTTCCGTGTGCCTCTGCCTGAGAGCTGCACAGCACAGGCTCATTCAAAAAGCTTTTGGGATTACTGTCTTACCCTGAGGGCAAGGAAGGGATTTGTTCCAGGTATAGAGAATTAGCTGCAAGTCACCAAACACAGTAGCTAATATTACTAGAAATCAAAGTATTTGTAACAGGGTTGATGTTAGCAGTTTTAGGTGTCTTCTGAAGAGAGACATGAAAGGATGTAGACTAAAGTCTCCTCTGCAGGTAGTGAAACATTCCAATGAAACCTTCCATTATGTTGTGCTTAACGTCTGCAATGCAAAGCCTTGAGCATGCCAGACATCACCTGGTCCAGAGGGCCCAATCAGGCTATCGCATCTCTTGCTGAGGCTCAGGTGGGGCACATTTAGGGGATTATCTAAGGGGAGAAGACCTGCAAATTGTGAGGCTGCTCTACCATGGCCTAATATTGGTTTCCATGTGTCTTTCCTGGGACACTGATACTGGCTGGCAGTGGTGCAATACTGCAGGGCTAGGTTGTTCTTTTGCCTTGGTGTCACCTCTGTGATGGAGCTTCAAAAGCAGTACCACCAGGTCTGGTGTCTCAGGAATGGCCCTGATGTGAAGCTAGCTTCAGGTGTGTGTTTGTGGTGCTCTGATGAGGCAAAGGGACACCTTGATGTGAAATGAGTGGAAGGGCTGATGTTGCTGCAGGTGGTTACACTGCTGCATTTGTGTGTATTATATCCTGGGACTGAAGTTTTTGTGGTATAAAACCCAAAAAGCCATCAGTCTTTTGCCTAGGGTGGCATCTCCCCTCACACACCCTGCTGAAGGTGACTGATAACAGAAACTGCCTGTGTGTTATTAGCCAGGAAACAGTTCTGTGATGGCAGCCAGACTAAGAACAGCACTGGGAGACAGATACGCAATTCCTGAGTACTTCAAAAAGGAAAAGCAGCCTAGACCTGCTGTTACTTAGTGTACACAACAGCAATTGCATGTTTTTCCCTACTTGAGGGTGCCCTGTGAGCCTCAGAGGAGCTGTAACCACATTGCACACACCTTTGCTCCAGCTGGTCTCAGAGCCTTGTGGCCTAATGCCTGCTGCTTCATATGAATCCCCAGTGAGGAGGAGGATGCTCAAATCACCATCTTGCCGAGGGATTCAGCTTCTGGGGGCTGATTGCACCTCACACATTCAAAGTGCCCTTAGAATTCCTTCTCCTCATGGTTCTCTGGGCTCTGCTGGATGTGCCCTGCTGTGGTTTTGGTAGGCAATTTAAATGGTCAAAAAGGTCGATCACACTGCTATAATTAAGATGATGGCAATCTAGATCAAATGACTTGACTCATTTGCATGCCTATTGCAATCATCATCTTTGCTATAAAAGCCTCTGAAGCTAATGGAAAATCTCTGCTACTGCTGGGCTGACCTGAAGGGGTGGGAAAGTCTGATCCTGTTGTGGAAGTGTTGATGGCAGTTTATGCCATGTACCATCTCACCAACAGCAGGCAACAGCAGGAGATGCTCACCAAGGCTCAGGCAGTACTTCAAGGCTGCAGCGAGACAGGAGAGACTGAAGCCTTTCTCTGCATCCCAAAGGAAACAGGGATGCACATCCATGGGAACCCAAAGTGCAAAGTTAAGGGCAAAGCAGCAGCACTGCAGGCAAGAGAGGGATGAAATGTTCTTCTGACCTTTTGCTTTTGAAGTCAAATCCCAGACTGGTTCAGTTTGGATGGGACCCTAAAGCTCATCCAGTTCCAATCCCTTGCCACTAGGGCAGGTTGCCTCAAGCCCCTGGGTCTGAACATAACTATCCAAAGCAATTTCTGCTGCAACACCAGGCTGGGGGGTGACAGAGGGAAAACAATTCATTTGAGTCACCTGAACTGATTTTCAGGCAGGTCAGGCTTAACAGGGCTAGAAAAGAAGTGATTTGTAATGTTTGGAGAAATGAAATGATAATACATCAGATGCTGTTTCATCCTGTAAGATGCTTATAGCTACTGTTTAAATGAATGTCTAGGTACCAATATTTGGGGGAGATGCTGGACACCGCATGTATGGGGGTTTTGCAATTTCTGGCTCCAATTTACTCCAGCAAGAAAGCCAAAGGAGTATTTGTTGGCAAAAATAAAACCACCTCCTTGGTGTGCTGATTGCTTTCTCTTGCAGTTGTTTTCTTCAATAGGAGCTGAAAGGCTTTTGAAGCTTGCAAGAGTATGTAACTCTGACGTTATTTTGGAATCAAATCTGTGTTTATGGCTCCTGGCACAGAAAGAATAGCCATGATTTTCTCTGCAGTAATACACTGATGTTTAATTTGAGCCTTGGGTTTCATGGGGTCTGTTTGAGCATTGTGTCTCTGGGGTAGCTATGTCACTGCTTCCAGACCTGTAAACACCCAGAGCACCTACACAAGGTGTCACTGAGATCTGATACAGCTGCATAAAGAAATCTGTTCTCCTGCAGGCCTTGCTCCTGTGCTGAGAGTTGAGTTACTGGGGGATGCTGTGAAGTTCCAGTGAAAGGGTAGGATTGGAAAAGCTGTACTGATGCTGGGGATTTTGAGAGCTCTCCTTGTTCGGTCACACCAGTAAAGCTGTACTGAGACTACACAAATGTCTGTTCACACAACACAAATGAGGGACTCATCTAAAACCAATTAAAATAAAGAAAATACTTTGTATTTTGTTTTGCTTTGATTTCAGGTAAAAAACCCTGTCAGGATCCTATCAGTTATTCACTGCTAGAGGAAGGATTTGTCCACGTCTGTGGGTTAGCACAGAGAAAAGATGCTCTGAGCAGCAGAGACCCTCCTTCAGCTCAGTGCGCATGCCATAAAGCCCCATGTTGAAGCCCCATGGTTAGGGTTTATTATTATTACCATGGATTTTGTTTTACTGCACCTATTTATTAAAAGTTGAGACCACAGCTCTCAGTAGGATCACCAGAACATTTTTACCCAGGTATGAAATCCACGACTGAGAATGCTGTGGCATTTGGACAACAGGTAGATGCAGTGGGTGACTTCCATGGCCTCCTGTCTCCTAAACCCTGAATCCAAATCATGGTGGCTTATGAATGAAAACAGGTTTGTGTCTGTGCTTCATGTTACAGCCCAGGACCTCTGGGTCTGGTGTCGCACAGGCATCAGCACCATTCAGTGCTCCCGGGCAAAGTACGTGTTGGGGAGAGCATGGCACAGAGGGATCCTGCTGCTTGCAGGGTGTGCAGTGGGAGAGGACATGGCCAGCACATCACCAGCACTGCGGAGATGTGCAGGTGGAACTGGGAAAAGAGGAGATATGTGGGGGACGAATGCATACTGGCACATGCTATACATCCCTTATTTACACCAGCTCAGCAACATACACAAAGGGAGAAAATGAGCACTCCAGCTTCTGTGAGGATGGATTGGAGTGCTGCCCTATACAACTCACATTCCTCCTCTAGCCATCTTTTCCCTTTTTCATCCCTGAAGTTCATACACGTACACTGACACTTTCATACCTACGCTGGGTGGCTGGAGCTTCTTTTCTGTACTTTTTTCAGTACTCTTCAATGTCCGGAAGGTGGCAAGCTTTTAATGCACATTGCTCTTGTGCTTCCACTCATAGCATCAGCTAGGTTGGAAAAGACCTTTAAGATCATCATGTCCAGCCTTTACCCTCCGACTGCCGTTCGTTTCCCCAAAGCAAAGAATCTGAGGAAAGTTAGGACTACAGAGCTCTGTTTGTGCATGGGGTGAAAGCCTGTGTTCAAGTGAGACAGAAGGAGAATCGTCTGTGACTGATGAGCAGCCTGGATGGCAGGGAAGCCGTGTTTGCTGCAAACAGGCACAGATAACAGGGCATTTCGTTTGCCACCCTGGGCAAGGCACTGGGAGACAGCAGTGAGACAGGCTGCAGCATGTTCCCATGCTTTTGGAATAACACTGAATTTGCATCCTGCAATAAGAGGCAGGTCAAATCCATCCCCAGCAAAACAAGACCAAAATAGTTTAGAGACAATCCTGCTCTCCCTCCGCATGTTGACATACACACTTTTAATTCCCTCCATCCCTTCCCGTTTAGCGGAAGCAGTGTTTAGCCACACAGATGTGTCCTTGCAGGCTGACAGCAGAAATTATGTATTTCTGAGAACTAAAGAGAGCACCTACATATTGTGCATATACAGCCGGGTGCTGAAGTGAAGGATGCCACTTTGTTCTACAGACCTACTCTAGTCACTGTCCAACCCATACAGGGAGCAGCCATACCAGTGACCTGCCTGTTCCTTCAATGAGTACAGCTTCCCCTCCTGCTTTGTGCTTATTTAGGCTGTACCCTCAGTGGTTCAGGCACTGCCCATCCAGTGTGCTTGCTTGTCACAGAGCCTGTGACATTCCAGTGCTGTTCCGAGGCTCTGAATGTCACAGCCAGGCAAGAGGGACCCGGGATGGCAGCAGAGCTTCATGGCAGGCAGATATCTCTGCAGAGCCACGCTCATGGGTGGATTCCTTCCCTGCAATGACAGCATGTGCTGCTCAGAACGAACCTTCAGAGTGGTTTTTCAAGCTTTCCTGACACTGCAACATCGAGTGGAAATTCAAAGAACTCATTTCTTCCAACAGGTTTAAATTCTAAATATGTAAAGCCAAAGAAAAAACCTCCAGGTAAGCAAAAAACCCTCCAGCTCCCCATGTGAGAGTAACACGGGTGGTAATTATTACTTGGGTCGGGTGCTAACTATTAATTTAGGATCTAATGAAGACTTGGCACTTGCTCTGTTGCTCTTTCCTAGTGAAAACAAGGCTTGAGGTAGACAGTTAACTACCAGACAAACCTGAGAGCACTTCTCCTGTGCTGGCACTGCAGCAGGGTGAACTTTCCCTCAGCTCCCGCAGTGAGGAGGTGTGCTGGTGTGCCAGGGTTTTGCAGATTCAACCACTATTTTGGGCCACCAATAAGAAACACATGGCGTGCAGCTCAGGTTGCCTCAAATATGTCTTCAAGAAAAGCCCCGTCCCAAGAATCGCTTTTACACATCCCTGCTTCCTACATCATCCACAATGAGGAACAGAATTCTCTTTCCCTCTTCCTTCTGCCTGTAACCTGCTGCTGGTGACATCACCAAACACAGGAATGGAGCTGGAGACACTCAAAAGGATTATTACAGCCTTTACGTGCACTTGGGGGTGCATAACTGAGCATAATACATGGTTAATAAAACCTCCAGCCCAGTCTGCTCTTCCCTTTCGGAGCCTCTCCTACAGCCACAGAACTCATTTTCCTTAGATCTTCATCCTTTCCCCAAAAGTCTTCCTCTCACCCTTTGAAATCTCTCCCAGATGGAAAATGTATTCAAATACACTATCTGAAAAGATAAACAGGGCAGTCCAAAAGGAAAAGCTGCTAACAGGTAGGGAATTACCCTTCACATTGATAAAACCCCCTGGAAACCAGTATGGGTTGCCTTTGCAGAGTGGGACAACTTACACCAGAGTTGCTTCCAGCAATCCCAGCCTGAGAGCACTGTCACTCATGGCAGCATTAAACTGGCTTCTGTTGATTGTGTCAAACCAAAGCAGTCATAGACACCAGCTTCTCCTATTCAAAGCTCTCCTTTGTGGAGTAATTTATCCGGGTTTTGAGGACTGGTGTCAGCTCTGGAGTATAAAGGATGTCGCTGCAGGTTATCTCTGTGAATTCACACAGTTCCCAGCTTGGCTCAGCAACACTTCCCTGCAGATTTGAACCCAGGCCAGACCCTTCCAGTTTCAACTTCCAAATGTTTGCCTTAACACCAGTATATTGAGGAAGGACCGCAAATGTAGAGTTTTGGAGAGACTTGAAAATTATACTTTCCTTGATGTATAAAACCAATTTCAGGAGTTATTCCATGTTGACCTCTTCGCCTCTTCAGGTAAATATCCTCTGGACTGCAGTAAAAGTAGTCAGAGACAGGGCATGGATCTTCCAGTAGACAGAGCCAGGATGATTTTAGCCATCTACTCTGAATTGACAAAAATCTTGGGTTCAGTCTCTTAAGCCACACAAAGAGGAGCAGTTTCCAGCAGGCCAGTGGAATGGGCTTGTGTTTTTACAGACCTTTATTTCAACCACAGGCTTGCATTTGAAGAAAGGTAGAGCCAGCTCCCAGTGTGGCTGGGGATGGGGCTCTGCCACTCATCATCCCATGCAAAAGAAGTAAAACCAAGAGCAGAAGATAATAGTCCTTCAAATCCTCTTCCAATGCCCCAGTGAGTCCAGTCCCAAACAAATTTGCCCCTTTGAGCTTATCAGAAATGCTGCGAATAGCAAGGTTTAGTTACAGAGGGAGTGAAGATTTTCAAAGAGCTTATTTGTCGCTTTGGCTTCTCAGGAGCTTCAAAGTCAGACGTCAGATAAACCCAGAGAGTGCCCATGAGATGTTACAAATGGGAGCTGCTGGGATATGGCTGCTTGGCCTAAGCTTGAACCTCTGTTGAAAACCTGCTCTTCCATGTTAGTCAGCAGAAAATTAAACGCATCAGCTGTCCTTTTGTCTCTAGGTTGTAGGTAAAGCTTGGCAGCAGGGCTGGGAGTCATCAAACAACTGCCACAGGGTGCTGAATGTGCCTTTTCCCTGCAAACAACAGTGGATTTAGGATTGATCTGAAGGAGCAGGGCTGGTTTTGCTTATGAGTGCCTGCACTTCCGTCTGTCAGTAGATCTGGCTCTCTGCCTGAGGAAGTGAATTTGGAGCTTGTTCTTAATAGGCATGCAACTGATCCAAGTACCAGCATCAATTCCTGACAGCCTCATCAGGGATATCGGCCATTCTGATTGCCTTTGGAATGAGTTGTCCTCACTGAGAGAGCAGTCTGAGGGAAGCCAGCGCTGCCTATTTATAGAGAATAAGAAACTTGAATAGGGAGGGAACTTTGAATGTGTGGCTTAAATGTAGCAGCTGAGAGGTTACCCTGTGCCTGGGAAAGCCCGGATGCATATGCTTTCTCTGCCTCAGCAATTATCCAAGCATAATTGCACTGGCTGACTTTCCAGGATTCCTGCAGAACTCCCAGCTCAGACAGGGCAGTAGCTCAGACCAGCCTGTGAGTATCTGGACATCACAGAGGAATGCCTATGGTGCCTACTCAGATGAACCACAGTGTTCGTGCAAGGGGAGGTCACTGCTCTGCACTCACTGCACTCACTCTGGATCTGCTATTCAGATCGGTCTGGCTGCACATCCCAGCAGGAATTAATTGGTGCCCTCACTGCCTCATTCCTTATGGAGATCCAGGGTGCAGACAGCTGGTTACCATCCTCTAGCCAAGTGACAAGTGGAAACTTCCCTGTTCAACGAGCAAGAGGATTTAGTAAAAATACCGAGGACACCTTACCACGAGCAGGGATTACTGTCAGCTTCTCTTACTGCACATTGCTGAGCTGAGATACACAGCATTATGGAACGGAGAAGTCAAATCCTGACATCTGCCACTGCTTGGAGTGAAGGAAAGGCCCTATGTCTCTGTAGGCACGTGAATTCCTGACGGCTGTCACACAGAAACATGGAGTTCTCTTCCAAATGGGATCACATACACTTCAGTAACTGAAATTACTGAAGTGCATTGGAAGTACAGACTGAAACCAATGACTTCACGGTAAAGCAGCATTTGATTCCTGCATGAAATATTACAGGATGCCAGTTTTGTAATTTCCTCCTCACTTGATCATGATAACACAGCCCCCCAGGCACTGCAGAGCCAGGCAGGAGATGGAAATGGGAGAGGTGCCAGTAATACAAAACACAGTTAAGGAAACAGTGTTTGAGAGTGATTGTTGTGTGATAGGGAATGTTTTGTCTTTTTCTCCATCAATTTTTTGGAGTAGGGAGAGATAATAATATATATTTTAAAAGCTTGGAAGCAATTCTTAGGATGCTTTAAACCAGCTTCTAAGCAGAGCTTTGCTCGTGCTG